TGTCTTTTGACACATTTTGATCGTTATTTTCATTTATCCTTTTAGTTATAGTCTATTCAAATATATGTTGCTTATTATAAATATCATTATTTGATATATTGTTTGGGGAAAATTACAGTTAGTATTTAGATATTGTCAAACAGTGATAAAACTGAAGTTACAATAGGAGGAGCTAAGACTCGACAATTTCTTGTCTAATTATAATATGATGTCTAAAATGATAATTTATTTTCTCAAGAGTATACCTTGATATATAATCTAAAATTATTTTTATCGTATTTTCAAAAGTAATGTTAAACTATTAGAAATATTTTTATCAAACATGAAAAATTCGAATTTTCCCTAATTTAGTATATGATTGTCTGGATTAAATTGATAAACTGAATTGAGAATTTGTGATTTAACTGGTTAATTCGAGGATTAAAATAAAATTTTATGAATAGTTATGAACCATTAAAAATTAAAAATTTAAATAAATGCTTTTATTTATTATTGTTGAACTGTAATTTATTATAGTGAAAAAAGTGGCCTAATTCTTCTGAAACAAAATTAAATTATATGATATGCATTTACCCATTTATATGCAACGAAATTATTAACTCAATAATAACACTTTACCTGCAAGTATTTATAAATACCAAATATTATTTATTACTTATCATCACCCAATTGTAATATTATTCATCATTCTAGTCCTCAAATAACATTAATTCTCAAAATAGTTTTTCAGGGTGACAAATTTGACAATAACGAGAGTCGAATTCTTCAATGTCGTTGTGAGCTTTGATTTTTGAGCAGAATTTTGACTATATTTATGTTTAAATTTAGATAACGATGACTCGATTATAAATTCTAACTATCTTTAACCGTATAGATATTGTATATGGGATTCGTTGTATTGCAGCTTGCCTGCTTCTTTTTGGATGAATGAATTTACTTATCCAAAAAAAACTCTAACTATCTTTAAGGTTCAAATTGTAAGGGGAGCCCTCAAAAATTTGAAGGAATTCGATTTCAATCAGAGTCGACTTCTTCTTACATAAATCTCAGAACTATTTCGTGAAATAATATTAATCCAAGCCTACTTTGGGAATTATTTTTGAGTTATATTTGTGGGGGGAAACCTTATAATTAAGTTGTACTATTTGCAACAATGTTAGTTGTTATTTCTGTTTAAGGAACAACGAGAATTTTCCAATTATTTTCCTTGCTTTTGTTAGATTCTTTAAAGCACTCTTCCTCCCGTTTGGTTTGTTATAAATTAGGTTGGTACTCGGTAGTAATTGTTCTATTAAATTTTCTACAATATTTTAGATAAAAAATGATTTAAATCTAAAAGTTATTTTGATCGATTCATATTGTTAAATTTATAATAAATTATATCGTTAAAAATTCTTAATAAAATACATCAGTAGGATTTACAAAAAAGATCATCAGTTCTAGTCAACAATTACAATAATCTTTTTCGAAATTATATTCTATGTTTGATTTGTCATTATTCTCTTAAGACGATAATAATTTATTACCAACATAACCATTTTTTGCTTAAAATAATAAGAAAGTCATTCTCTAAAATTCTTAGTTATTTCATAATTCTTAATATTTAAAAAAATACATTTTTTTCTATTTTCAAGAAAATCTTCCCCTTTTATTTTCTGAAATCTTCATTTTACTCTTCATAAATTGTTATGATACTCGGGTAATCTCATTACTATATTCAATGAATCTCTGTTTAAATTAAAATAAAAATTGATATCTTTCCGACACGTTGAAAAAAATCTTCAAAAGTATTTAAAGTTGCTGCCAACTGCTACAAATTAAAGTTACACGGACTGAAGTTAATTAAACACTGTCGATAATGAGTGAATGGAATCTTCAATTCCTTGGACAGGGATGTAGACTTTTGGACACAAGATGGTAAGAATGTCCTTTGCATTTATTCCACTTGAGAACACAAACCTAAATTCTGTATCTTATAATTCCCATGATAATTGATACATAACGATTATACTACCCACGGTCAATGAAATTTTCAAACCCTAATATAAATTTCGACTGGAGTTATGTTTATTTCGGGTTTGAGGTGATGATTCATTTTTTTTATATTCGAGGCGATTCTACTTTCACGAGTCTAGTAGTTTGAGTTTTTTGACATTGATAGTTCCGAGTTTCTTTACATATGTGATTTAAAATTGTTAAGTCCGGTCTATTGTCATCGGATGTAGGGTTTTGACATGAACTCTCTGTTTTGACAAGAATCCTCCTTACGTTCATTTATTTTATCGATGATGAACTTTAAATCAAATGACATATCTTCCTACGATATTCAACTCGAATTATATATTTTGTCACATGTACTAAGTTTTTAGGAGTTTTTGTTTTTTTTTATCGAGTTTTGGTTGTTTTACTAGTGAGAAATCATGACAGGGAGCAATAGTATTTTAGTGTCATATGGATAATAATACGTACGTAATATGAGGCTTAGGTGAGGTAGGTGGAAAATTCATGCAATTGAAACTACGTTACTGAATAAAAGCAGGGAAGGGGAAATGAAAATTTGCATTGAAGAAAGTGACAAACTTTTAATGTCGTTTTGGTGTTGTGAGTAAATGGCTTCAGCTTGTTGCTATTAATGTAAAACTGTACCGTTTTAAAGAACTCTAATTTTTATTTAAACAGAAGGAAGTGGAAGAAGAGGAAGAAAAATAAAAACATGGGAAAGACGACTTTAGGCATCAAAAGATTGCAAGCATCGAAAACTCAACAAGTACGACGGCATTCCTCCTCCTCCTTCTTTAGCTATTCGTTTCTGTTGGGAAATCTTTGGACTTTTTAAGAATAAATTCAATCATTTTAGCATTATGTATGTACTTGATAAGGGTATTTGCAGAAGAGCCTTGCGGTGGTGCCGCCATGGGTAATTGTTATGTATAACACAGAATTCTTCAGAAATTGTGTTACTCATCCAAATGCAAAGAAGAACGAGTTGGATCGGTTTTGCATCGACTGTGTTCAGTCTTTTTGTTCTCATGGCCTTCCCGCTCATGCCCTTCACAAGCACGTTAAGGTCTTCTTCTTCTTCTTCTTAATTAATTAGTTGATAATCAAATTAATTAAAATGCTGAATTTTTGGTTAATTATATGATATGTTGAAGATTCGAAGATATATCTACAGCAACGTGATCAACCGACAAGATTTGTGTAAGCTCTTCAATTGTTCTGGGATTCAGGTCAGATTCTTATAATCCATTAAATTTGCTAAGTTTCTTCAATGTATGGTACTTATTTGCTGTTATGGCGACGGCAGACTTATCATACGAATAAAGCCAAAGTGCTGTTCTTGAAGCAAAGGTCATCATCATCATCATCAGCAGCAGCAAAGCAATCCAAGAATTTATGGCTGCACCATTTGTGACAAAAGTCTGCAAGATAATTCACTCTATTGCAGCATAGCTTGCAAGGTTTTAAATATTTACAGAGACGGTGAACTGTACTGTCTCAAAGATGAAGATGAAGATGAAGAGACTAAATTTGTTCTACGTCGAACGTTAACCAAGAAGCCTAGGCTAAGGGCTTCCATGTTCTAACCCCGTACTGAATCATTAATGAAGGTACACTAGAATTGAGTGTGTCTTAATATTCATGTTCTTCTGTATATTATCATCGTAACGGTATCAATAGAATTAAAACTCATTCATATAATTCTATTTAATTCTAGTTAACTCACTCAATAAGGATAATCGATGTAAATCCTCTACCTCCAAAATTCTACCAACAATCGAGATTTAAATAGTAGTCGTTATACAGCAGTAACAACAACATCCAAAATTATTATTATAAAAACTAACGGTGTATAACGAAATCACACCAATAACAATGGATCGAAGTCGTAATTTAACGGGTTACGGTCAATTACAGCAATAACAGGTCGCTGTTCTCATTATTATTCCATCATTCTATTTTTTTTAATAAAAATCAGCTCATTTTTAAAAAAAAATTATTTTCTTTAAAAAAAATTCATGATCGCGATATTCAAATAATTTCTATTATGTCTACAATCGTAATAAAGATCTAAAATACAGTCACAACTACAATTTAAATCTCATATGAACAATATGCATGCACGGCTTCCGAGTGCAGTGAGTGTAAAAGTAAAGGCGTAATAATGTATTTTACTACGATATAAAAGTAACTACGATATCTTGATACAAACATGTTGATTGTAATTGTTTTTCATTTATACCGTATTAATTCAACTAATTGTTTTTGAATTTGCTAATAATATTTTGAACAAAGCTTAAAAATAATAAATATCAAGATTCTTACGTTTATTTATTTATTTTTATCTTTTAAACGTAACGTTCGAGTACATGGTAAGGTATGGATATTGAAATTGTTTAAATATATAATTTGTTAGTGAAATAATTTGGTTAATTACGTAAATATACAAAATTTAATAATTAAATAATCCAAATTTAACAGAAAGTCATATATATTAAATAATTGAGAGGTAAAATTAAAATATTTAAATGTTTGAGTTAAAATTAATATCCTACGTAATACACATTTAATTATAACGAAGAAACACAAACATAATTTTATAAAATGATTTGTATTAAATAAAATTAACTAATAAACGTATGTGATTGTAGTAATACTTTGATAAATTTAATTTTTTTAATTTATATTTAAATTATTAATTAATAAATACGGCATACGACATCTGTACTAAATTTATTTAATATAATTAATTTTACGTGCACAATACACAAAAAAACTAGTTTTTCTAATCTAAATAGGAAAATTGAGAGGTGAAATTAGAGTCAAACTAGGTTTAAAAAGTGGAATATATATACCCCCCACATATCTCACCATTTTCATTCGATTCAGAGTCTACGAAACCCTAAATATTTCTTTCATCTGTTTCTTTGCCTTTACGTTAGCGTTCATCGTTTCTTTGTTTCTGTCAAGGGTTCGATTATTATAAACAGAACATAACAATGAATCTGCAATTTGTCAAAGTGAAGAACATTGGCGAGGGAAGCTATGCGGTTGTAGACTTGGTGAAGACGATAAACGCTGTTCCGAGGTTACTTGCGCTTAAATCTTCTCCTTCACCGAGTTCTTCGCTTCGAAAAGAATACCAGATACTTCGACAGTTCCTCTGTTGCACTAGTATCGTTCAATGCTACGGCGATAAGTTTTTGAGCATTGATGAACTTGAGGTTGAATATGATAATAACGTGTTTCCCGAGTACGCCTCTGGTGGGAGCCTCCTGGATTTGATCGGTAAATACGGTGGTAGAATACCAGAATCTGCTGTTCGACGTTATACGAAGATGATACTCGAAGGGCTTTACAATGTTCATCAAAAAGGTTACGTGCATTGTGATATCAAACCAGAAAACATTCTTGTTTAACCATTGGACGAATCTTGTTCTCGTTTTACTTTGAAGTTGGCTGATTTTGGCTCGCCCAAGGAGCCCGGCGAACAAGACCCGAAGCCGGGTCGAGGCTGTGTTCGAGGTACTGCGCCTTACATGTCGCCTGAATCCGTGAAGCATGGAGAAATCACTGCTGCATTGGATAAATGGTCGTTAGGGTGCGTTGTTAGGGAGATTATGAACGGATTAAATCGGTGGGAACGTCCGGAGATTGATCCGGAAGACTCGGCAACGACGAATATTGCTCAAGGGATGTACCAGATATACCCCGAGATATGTCGGTGGCCGGGACGGAATTCTTGAAAAAGTGCTTTGATTTGGACCGTTGATAAGCTGATAGGGCATCCTTTTGTGTTTTGCTGATTAGTCTCCATTAATATATTTTTCATTTTATTTTAATATCCAAATTTGAATATATCTCATATTAGATATTTTGTTTAAAAATTAATTTACTAAAGAACTTGAGCAATATAGAAGGAATGTGCGATGATGAGTAATGAATTAAGAAAATTGATCTAAATCGAATTATACGATTTAATTTAAATTAAATTTTTAGTTTTACCATTCAATCTCTATATATAATTGTATAATTCGATTCATTTTTATTTTTTATATAAAAATTATTTGTTTCAAATCAAATCAAAAAAAAATTATTCTAATGAAATCTATTTTAAATTTATTTTAAAACAAACTTAAAGAAAGAAACTTTTAAAGTAATATTATTATTTTTATAAATTTAAATTTGTATGTTTGTCTTTAATATAAATTTAAAATTTATTTTATTAAGTTTTATACCATTGTAACATTTGGGCCCCTCACAAATTTCTTCGGTAAAATATATATTAGTACTTTCGGTCGGGTGTCACTATTAATTTTATTTTCTAAAAGTAAAATAGAAATAAAAAAAATAAACATAAAGATAAAATATAAATAATAAAAGGGCATTGTTTATAATAAAAATGCAAGGTAAAGTACATGAAAGGATCAAAGGACGGATACTGTAACTGTTAGTTCTTTCTTCTTTTTCCCTTGAATTGGGAAGATCGAAAGGAGAAATGGGTACGGAAGGATCAAGTGTTGTTGGTAAGTTTTCGATTTGCAATGCCCTAGATTTCTCTTATTTGTTACTCAAATTCCCCCTTTTTTATGTTATCCCTAAAAATTTGTTATTATTCTGTTGTTGATGGAGCTTTGAAAGTATATGCATCTCGGGGGGTTTCCCTTAGGGAAGTGATGATCCTTGGAATTGGTCGAAATAGGGTTTTAGTTTTGATAGTGTTGTTCTTTTGTTTAGTTTAAAGTTCTTGGTTTTAGATGTTTGAAAATGGATTTTTTGTGCTTGGTTTGATATTGAAGGTGAGAAATTTGTAGGCTCTGGTAGTGAAATTTTTACAAGAGCTTAAAATTTTAATGGGTTTTATTCCCGGCTTGAGATGGAGCTGAAATAATAAAAATATTCATGAAATATTTAGATCAGGTAAAGAATACTAATGCGTGGACTAAGCTAACTCTGAAGTTACATTTTTCTTTTACTCATTTATACATCAAGACTGTTGATCCATTTCTGAAGGCATTTGTTGAGATTAATTAACAATACTTGTGACTTGGGATGTGTATGCAACTGTTTATGGAGTGCTAGCCGTCTTAACTGAACAATGAAAACAGAGGTACAATACTTGTGACTTGGGATGTGTATGCAACTCTTTATGGAGTGCTAGCCGTCTTAACTAAACATTGAAAACAGAGGTATGGCGTATAGCTTAATAGAATGTCGATGATTTGTTTAAGTTAGAAGAAGACAATGACCCATAGGAACAAACATAATATCCTTGATCACATAGATGTTAGTATCATAACTGTTGACCTTGAGAAGCTTTGAGAACTCATCTTGATGAGCATGTGATGGATAATCAAGACAAAAGCACAAAATGGATCAGAAGATTTCTTATCAACTTTCTATTCCAGAAACCAATGATTTCCTAATCTCTTGTTTTTTGTTGATAAAAGTTGGCTGCATGTTTCAGGAGTAGTTGTTATCTGCTTTCTAATTGGTTGACGGAATTCTGGTCAAGTATGTTATAATTGAACAAATTAAATAAGTGGAAAACATAAGATTTTGTTCACCATGCAAGAATGAATTTACAGTTTCGGTAAATGACTTGACTTTCCTGTTTATCTGGCGAGTGTGATGCTTGATGAAGATGTCCGTCAGAAGATGTATAGTCTAACAATGCAGAGACATATGAATCATGTTTTTATTTTCTCCTCAACCATCTCATTGAATACCCCTTTAGCCATTAAGGATCACCTCTTTCCGCTATTATGAAGTGAGATTTCTTGGTTTCAAGGCCTTCTAGGCACATCAAATTGAGGTATTTGATTTTGGAAACTCCGGGTGCAATCTCTTTGAGACGCCAACATGAGAGATGAGCGGATATTCCTTCAACTGCTTATGTTTTTCTAAAAAAAAACTTGTCATTGATTGAGAGACGATATTGGTACAAATGTCTCTAAATAATGGAGCTAAACTTATGCTGTTTATTGATGGAAAGCAGTTGTTCTGTTTCTGTATCTAGTTTTTGTGCCCATTCATGGTTCATGGTGTATGCTATTGTATGCTATTGGGATTACTTCAGTTATTTCTGGTATTGTGTTGGTTCTTTTGAATTATTTGACATGACATGCAAGCATTAGTCTTAGGTTTTTAATATCTTTGGAAGCTGCATTTATTTAAGATGGACTGCATACAAACTTCATGTGTGACTTTATTACAATCATGACTAGGGACAAAAATGTATGTTTCTTGCAGTGCCCAGGAGTTTCAGATTGCTAGAAGAGCTTGAGAGGGGTGAAAAGGGAATTGGTGATGGAACTGTTAGCTATGGGATGGACAATGCTGATGATATATACATGCAGTCATGGACTGGGACTATTATTGGCCCTCCTAACGTGAGTCCTCTCTCTCTCTCTCTCTCTCGAATTGGCAGTTGGTGCACTTGTGTCTCTGAATTTTAGAAGAGAGACTAGCTTTCTCGTCGACCTATAGTACAGAGACCTACTAGGTAGTTTAACCTTTCTTTTTGCACCACAGGGTAAGATGCAATTGACTGACCATTTTCAACTATAAGGTGGTAATTATAACTTGATGAAAGTTATGAGAAGAGGTGTTTTTCACATTTACAATTTTTTTATAAAAAGATGAAATTTCATAGTACTTTTTGTGACAGTTGATTAATGAGTTTCTACTTTCTACCATCCAAACTTTGAAGATCATCTGTACTTGTAGCATGCGTAACGAATTAATTGCAGGAATAGACAAAGCTTTTTCTTTTCTTTCTAAAAGAAAATGAAAACTTGTTATAGTTCATGAAAGAAGCATGCTGAAATGTCATTATCATTATTATGAATTATCCCTTTATTTATGACATATCTGCTCACTCATCAAACAGTCTCAACCTTAGTAATTTCAGTTCATTTAGGCCTAGTTTAGTACAAAGATAGGATTAGATCAAAGGACTTTTTGTTCAATGCTGCAGATCATTTGGTTCTTATAGAATGATGTTATGGTTTGATTAATTATCCTACATGGGTAGTACTAAACAATCTTATGGAGAAGAAATGGGTTATCATATATTGATAGGATTTCATAAAATGCAATGAGAACATTTTGGTTATGCATGCACCAGGAAACACGATGAAATAAAGAAAATTGGCTGGTTAATTATTATTCTTTCCTGTGCAATTTTAATGAAGCTATCATTGCTTTGGAAACTGTAATTAATAATGATTCCTCTTAATCCACCTACTGAGTTGATATCTTGCTTACATCTTTATGCATGCCAGACTGTTCACGAAGGACGCATATACCAATTGAAACTGTTTTGTGGCAAGGATTATCCAGATAATCCACCAAGTGTGAGGTTTCAAACACGGATAAATATGACCTGTCTAAATCAGGAAACCGGAGTGGTAGGTGATGTTTTTCTCACCACCTTTTACATTACGATATGACACTTATAGCTTTGGTAAATTGCCAGGTTGAGCCTAGCCTTTTCCCCATGCTTGCTAATTGGCAAAGGGAGTATACAATGGAGGATATATTGACTCAGCTGAAGAAAGAAATGATGTCTCCACAGAACAGGAAGCTAGTGCAGCCTCCTGAAGGTGTGTAGATCTTATAATTTATTCGTATTCATGTCATAAGATTGTCTCTTTTCTGAAGTGAGTTTAGTTATTGAGGATTGTTGAATCGTGCTATAGAAAGTATTGGTTGAATCGTGCTATAGAAAGTATTGGTTGTTTCATGGAATGGTAGATTATGGTTATTCGCATATGGATCAAGTGATATTATTTGTGATATATTTATTCTTTGGTGCCTAAAATTTTCTCGCTTTGATTCATGTTATGTAAAAATTAAACCGTGATGGTATTTTCCTAGGCAATGACGAGGCAAGGCTCGAGCAAAAGGGTTTAGCATTGAAGTGTTGCATCGTTTGAAATCACTGGAGTTGTATGTGAACATTATGTATATAAGAATATATACACTAGGTCATTCCAGCAACCGGCTAAGCACCAAAATGCCAACGGTGGTGAAATGAATTGAAACTTCTTAATGAAGTTGGTGACCTTCAAAAACTATATGACTCTGTGCTAATATCGAATCTTAGTTGGCGAGAGTGTTTCGTTTTTCTCATATTTCCTTGTTATTTTCGTTTCCATTTGATGTAATTTAGAACATATCCTAGGACAACACCGAAGTTGGAATCTTTATGGGTTTGAGATAAGTGTTGTATTCCTTCTATGTATGTGCGTTCTCTTTGATATTGAGAAAATTGTACCATCAAAGTTTATTATTTCCAACAATGCTTAAATCACAGTTCCATTTTCCTTCAGAAGCTTCCTTTTTTGGACAGCTTATGTCCTGTGCGTGTTTTTGCGTAGTTTCTTCCATAATTTCTGATTTACAATTCTTGGAACTTAAACATTCCAACAACCGTTCTCTATGGCTTGAAGAAAAGAGCTCTATCAAAGCTGTTTTTCCTTCTAAGTATGGTGTCTACATCTGCATCTTGTCTCAATAATCACTAAATCTTAGTTCGATCGTTATGTTTATTCGAGGACGTGGATTCGAGTATAGATTTTAAAAAAATAAGATAAATCAATTATGGATAACAAAAGTTGATTGGAGAAATGTGAAGGCAAAGAACACAACGCGTGTAGAGCTCTTGTTTTTGTGGCTGTAAAGCAAAGTCAAATAACCAACGCTTACATTTTCTTTTCTTTTCTTGTGTTCACATCTGAGAGCAGCTTCCTTGGTTGTCGTTTCATATTTTGTCAACAGAGATTACCTATGTCGTTTTATCTGATTTGGTTCTTTCATTCCATGTTACTCCATCAAAATATTTATTTGTCAAAAACATTTAATTATATTCGTCATGTATCGTTAAATATTTATTTGAGTATTAAATAAAGATACGTAAAGGTGAATTAAGGTTTATTATATCTAATAATGAACTTTTATAAGTAAATATTTGATGTACTGATAATGTATAATTTTATACACTAGACGATGACATATAGTTAAAAATGAATTTAATAAATATGTAATATATATATATATATATAAAATTTTGGATACTACAATAATTATAACCATATTTATACTTATACACCTAAAAATGACATGAAACATCATACATAATCTACCAAAATTCGAAAGAAGTTGTCAAGAAAATGAACTTTCTTTTTTCTGTTCTTTTTGCTTTAACGTTTCGTTTTAGAAGCTTTATACTCAACAAGCGGTCTTGATCAGGCCTCTATTCCCAGTATATATAGCTGTTAAAGCCTTACTTAAGTCTTCACGTAATAATTTCGCCATAGCTGCTAACTATTCTGCACTTATTAGGGTTTCCATTATTTCATTGTCAAAGTTTCTGTTATCAGTTCTTGTAGTTATCTGCCAAAGATCTCAGTTTCATACACACCTCAACCATGGCTTCTTCTTTGTCATCAAAAGATCTTTTACAGGGTAGTGCTTATATATATATATAGATGCAGCTTTTTATTCGTTAAATTCGCAGATGGTTAATTGTGGGGATTCATGCAGGAGTCGATGATTTAGGGCGCAATGATTCAGACCAAACCGTTCTGGAAAAACATGTTTCGTTCTTCGACAGAAACCATGATGGCGTCGTGTATCCATGGGAGACTTTTGAAGGTCTTCGAGCAATCGGGGCTGGTTATTTCACCTCCATGACCGGCGCTTTCCTCATTCACTTTGCTCTCAGTGGAAAAACTCGTCCCGTAAGATCTAATATATTATCTTGTATATATTATATAATACCATATATATATGTGTATGTGTGTGTTGTGTGCAGGGAAAATATCCTTCTCCATTCTTTCCAATTGAGGTCAAGAACATCCACATGGCAAAACATGGCAGTGATTCTGGTGTATATGACAGTGATGGAAGGTAAATCAGATAATTTGCATGAAACTAGACAATCAGTTATCTGTTCATACAAAGGTATAATTTTATGTATTATCATTGAATAATTTATGTTGTACTTGTATCTAAGTTCGGGTTATCATTATATGATAGATTCGCAGAATTGAAGTTCGAAGAAATCTTCAGAAAGTTCGCCCGTACGCAAGGGAGTGCCTTGACATCCGGTGAACTCATGGCGATGCTCAGGTCCAACAGGGAACCAGGGGACTTCAAAGGATGGTACATATAATTACTTAAATTCCCTTCATTCCAAGTTACATGCACATAACGATATATAATTCGACGGGAAAAAGTTGGATTTTTAATTTCAACGATGAAATCGGAATCTCGGAACGATCTTTTACCGGCTCGCAGGGTTGGAAGCTGGATGGAGTGGATGACATTATATAATCTTTGCAAGGATGAACGTGGACTGCTGAGGAAAGAAATAGTTAAGGGCGTTTATGATGGAAGCTTGTTTGAACGTATGGAGAGGGACAGAAAACCACACAAAGATAGATGGTAATAATACCCTAATCTTATCTTTTTTTAGTTTAGTTTATTGATTGGTTTTTGTATGTGATGCAGTTGGAATTGGATATAAAACATGCTTCGTTCGAATTCCGGATTCGGTTCGAGTTGGTTTGATTCGATAAACTTTACGTAAAAGATTTGATTAAGAATATCTAGTGTAACTTTTATTTATTTATGTAGCATGTATAATGGCAGAAGTAAACGCATCTGCTTGCCGATGGATTCGAAGATTTAGTTATTTCATATTAAATAAGCATGAACTATCATGGCCAATATACATTTTATATTATATATTTAATAATAAAAATAATGGATGTCTCTTTTTCCCCATATATATATATATGGAGTAAGGGGAGGTAAGATAGTAGGCTACCCTCCGTGGGACAACCATTATTTTTAAGACACTAAATTTATCATTATGTCTAAATATTTTGATTGAATTACTTTAATCAATTATTTTAATTCCTTCATTAACAAACTTAATTTTAATTCAATACAACTGAAATATCTAAAAACATATCTATGAAAACATTAATATCTAAGTACGAGTGTTGTATCAATTATGTCTTCTTATTAGTCTGCTTCTCAGTTTAAGCATTAATATCAGTTCAAATTTGATGTTAGTTTAGGAGTTAACATCAATTTAAGTTTGATATGAAAACATATTTAAAACACATGAACCAAATTGTAAACACGTATGTAGTAACTATATAGTTAATTTGGATCCAACATATTAAAAAATAATCCTTTAAATTTTATTAAAATTGTTTATTTTAACTCGTCAAATCCAAATTGATCATGGATGGACCTAATTGATACATTAAGGGACTCAAATGAGAATATTTGAGACTAAGGACTAATTTGATGGAATTAACCCAAATATAAAATCCCAATTTCTTCTTAGTAGGCCACCTGTAACATGATTCCACGTGTCCTCATTCCATTTTAAAATAATAAATAAAAAAAAGTAAAATAAACCGGTTCTCCACTTTCCGCCCTTCTTCCTCGCTAAGGAAAGAACATTCAAGCTCCCCTCCTCAAAGCTCCAAAAAATCGAAACCTAAATCAGATTCAAAAAAAATTTGTGTGCATTTTCCCTTAAAAAAAATGGCTCTAGAATGGGTAGTGCTAGGCTACACTTCCGGCGCCGAAGCAATCATGTTGCTCCTCCTCACAGTTCCAGGCCTCGACGGACTCCGCAAGGGCTTGATCACCGTCACGCGTAACCTCCTGAAACCCTTCATGTCGGTGTTTCCTTTCTGTCTCTTCCTCCTTATGGATATATACTGGAAATACGAGACTCGACCTAGCTGTGACGCCGAGTCATGCACCCCTTCCGAATATCTCCGTCACCAGAAGTCCATCATGAAGAGCCAACGCAACGCGCTTCTCATCGCCGCCGCTCTTATTTTGTACTGGCTCCTTTTCTCTGTTACTAGCCTTCTTGTTAAAATCGAACAGTTGAACCAGCAACTCGAGAAGCTTAAGAATCGCGATTGAGATAAGTGATGTGAATTTTATATATGTTGTATTTGGCGTACTTTTTTTTTTCAATAATCTTTTGTTTGAATTTCCTCACGGATGTGTTTGGATGATTTTGGAATGTTTATCTTACGATAATTATATGATGTATTACTGCATCTCTGTTTTTTAATTTCTGATTTGATTAAACAAGAAAGTTAAGGTTTGGTTCAAATTACTGATATTACTTCAATATTGAGAACTGCTTCTGGAGTTGAGATTTTGGCTTTTTTACTATTTTCCTTCTCCATGGCCCTGCAATATCAATTAGAACAAGTTGATCATCGTCTAGGATTTAACAATGCATGGCTTGATGATGATTGAATCGACATAATTGAATACTCATCTATAGCTCACTACATCAGTCGCCCTAGGAAACGTTTGAAATATGCATTTGCAGCTAGGAAATGACTTTCCTTAGCTTTTTATTCTAGATGGTGTTCAAGTAAGACAGTTGTCTTGCTATAGTTTTTCATCCTTGAATGACGATGGTGCTTTTCGGCTCTCACCGAGTTAGCTTTAAGTCTTTATCGGTAAGCTCATTGTTTTCAGGCTTTAGTCCATGGGTGAACTTTTCTGTTCACCCGAGTACTGAGTTCTTTGCTCGTTGCTATATCATCTTGTACCTTATGATCCTCCATTCATGAATCATGATGACTTTTGAAGCTTCTGACCCTGGTTGAACTCAGTACTTTCAGGAAGGAACGAAAATCCCTTCCTGATACCTTGCGTGTTCGGGTAAATTTAGTTAATCCCTTTATATATGGATGGTATTTGCTCGACTGTTCATCAGTCCGAGGAAATGTTTGAATCCCAAACCAAAAACTGGTTCGCTGATGAAGGAACAAAAAGATGTTTCTGGCTAGCCATATGCTGGAAGAAGGGCAAATCGATCGGTTACTACTAGTATACTAGTATTACTTGTTTGCTCACCATCCACCAACGAATCCTACAAGCTGCGCTAGACCCGTGTGGAATACTGCAAATGTTGGCATGGATTTCTAGTGTACAATGGCTTGTTCATCGGATAGGAAACTCAATTGGGATTGTTCTGACTTGTGCACAAAAATCTTGATAATAGCCATCAAAACATGTATTTAAAATAAACTTTAGGTTTAATCTTCAACATTTGAAGTCTAAATTTAATTTGATTACCCTTTTTTCCATTTTTTATACAATAATTATACTTTCGGGTCACTCTTCGCTCATAAATAAAAAGATAATGAGTATTTAAGCATGTTTGAACCCGTGTTTGATGTATTGATAACGATATGAACATTAATTTTTGTCTATATTTAACTAAAAGTATTAATATAAAAATGGATTGAACCAATGCCTTTGAGCCGGACAACTAAGAAAAGTAGGGCCCGTATACGTGGTGGAATGCCATTGGTTAAATTAGCGAAATCGAGGCCGTTGAACAGCGTGTGTATCGTTGGAATCTTTTAACAATTCCAACTGCCAATTAACAATCTATCTGTTCTTAGCGGTTAAGAATTTTAAGATGAATCGTCGACAAAAAGCCAAAGTGTGTTCCAAACTCTCTTCAGATCTTCCAAGGTAAAGGTAAAACCTCCATTGCTACAAACACAAAACTCCGCCTTGTTTATATTTCTTCGTCATTGATTTTCTCTGCTTATTACAATTTTATCAACTTCTAATTTCCCCAACGCATGGATATTTGTTTGCTTCCTTGAATACCCTTTTTTTTCTATTGTTCTCGTGATCTATATTCTTTGTTATTTTTAGTATCATCATTGTTATCATTATTATTTGCTTTTGGAGCTTCAAACCAAAAGTATAATTCCCAGAAAACACAAAACAATGGCTATGAAAGAGCAATGGAGTGGATTCATGAAGAAAGTCAACAACCAATTCTCATCATCTGGGAATTTCAAGGGCCAAGGTCGAGTCTTGGGTTCTTCTTCATCTGGACCTGTTAACCCTATCCTCCCCTGTCCCTCCCAAACTCGATCTCTTTCTCCAAAGCCTGTTCCTCAATCATCATCATCTTCTTCGAATTCTAAGCCTTCTTTGCCCTCGAAACCTATAAATTCCGATCAGAACAAGCCCGTTTCCACCGATGATATCAAACCGACTCGGAAACCGGAAAACGGGTTTGATCCTTACGGTTCATTGATCACTTCTAGCAAGGTATCCAAAAACGGGTTCATCTTGGATATGTTGGAGTGTCCAATTTGTGGTGTTCCTTATAGGACCGAAGAGGAAGTATCTGAACATGTAGAGATTTGTGTTAACACTAATCCTTCCGATAGGAAAGGCGGTGATACTGATACGGAATTGAACAGGAATGAGTTCGAAGATTTGTCGAGGGATGAATTGGAGGTTCGTGTTGGTTCCTATCTTTCGGGAAACCCACCGGAAGGGTCGGTTCAGGTTGTTCTTAGGTTGTTGAGGAACATATTTAAGGAGCCTGGGAGTGACAAGTTTAGGAAGATCCGGATGAGTAATCCGAAGATAAGGGAAGCTATCGGTGAGATCTCAGGAGGAGTGGAGCTCGTGGAACATGTTGGATTTGTCTTGAAGGAAGAAGGAGGAGAAATGTTTGCAGTCATGGATGTTCCAAGAAAGGAGAGGATTACTTTGATTAAACGGGCGATAACATTGTTGGAACCGGGCAAGACGGATGATGTTAAGACCAGTGATAGCGAGAAAGAGGAAAAGGTTGAGCCAAAGAAGATTGACAGACAGGTAATTGAATTGTTTGCTGATATTTTCCTGTTTTCCCCCTTCAATCTTTATGTACATTGCCATATAATCCTTTTGCCTATGCATTTAGAAATCTTGTTCTAAGTAATGCACAAGCAATGAATTGTATGCTATTCACTGTTTATGAACTCACCCTGCTTTCTGTTCGATAAATGATGCTTCTCGATCATATTCCTTTTGATTCTACCGTTTCATTTCTCTGTAAACTTGTTTGTTAGTTCAATTGTTCATCCTAGTTTATCTTGTTGCATGTTGATATCCAATAGGTATGCACAATTTTGACATGATTTCATTAGTAAAATATGCATATCCTTTATGGTAGCATATGTCTCCAACTCTGAACATGAACTTTGTGAGTATAGATCCGGGTCTTCTTCTCTGTACCCGAGAGTGTAGCAGCGAAAATCGAGCTACCGGATTCTTTCTATAACTTATCAGCCGACGAGTTGAAAAGAGAATCAGAATTGAGACAGAAAAAGATTGCAGAATCCCAGCTCTTGATCCCTAAATCTTACAAGGAAAAGCAGGCAAAAGCAGCCCGGAGGAAGTATAGAAGAACAATGATTCGCATCCAGTTTCCCGACGGAGTCGTTCTTCAAGCCGTTTTCTCCCCCTGGGAGCCAACTAGCTCTCTCTACGAGGTCAGTCCTCTTGTCTAATTGCATGTATTACTTCCTATCAGTTGAGACCATTTCAAAACATTAAACTCCTCAGTCGTTTCGGGACATTAGCAGTAACGGTTTCGTTTATGTTCTGTATAGAATCCATAAGTTCAGCTTGCGTTGTGCTTAAATTGTTTAATTTTTTATCACATTTAGTATTTCCAATACGATTTGTATGCCTGCATGCTTAGTTCATATTCATTCTGTTAGAAATGTGGAATGATTTAGTGTTGTTTATGATCTCCAGTTTGTTAGCTCTTCACTGAAAGAACCCTGCTTGGAGTTTGAGCTATTAGATCCGGTACTGGTTAAGCGACGAGTGATCCCTTCGTTTCCAGCAGCCGGCCAGAAACCTCGGACGCTAGATGACGAGGGGTTGGTCCCTTCCGCACTTATCAAGTTCAAGCCTATCGAAACCGATTCCGTCGTCTTCACAGGGCTTTCGAATGAACTCTTGGAAATGAGTGAACCCCTGTAACCAATTGAAACATATGGGTCTAACCATATTATAAAATATGAGAGTTTTTAATCGAATACTCTAATGTATAATTTAAATAAGAATTAAAAGTTTGAATAATGACAAATTGTTTTATATGAATGGGGGAGGAAGCTTTTAGGCATGTTTTTCCCGTGTTGAATTTGTGGTGGGCATTGAAATATAAACTTGATAAAGGACAGTAATTGCTGTCAAAGGGATGACCACCCAAATGTTGATATATATACATCCATTAGTTATTTAGTCATGGAGAATCATACCGATTAGCGAATCGGTCATGTTATCGGTTCACTGGTTCAATCGATTGAATCAATTCGATCGATCAGAAGAACCGAATGACGTTATAATTATTTAAAAAATTAAATAAAAATATCAAAAATATTTAATAAAAAATAATTTTTTATATCACAAGTCATATTCAAAGCAAGTCATAACATATATAAGTTAAAAACCATAAAATCAAGTGAAACAAAATGATTCAAATTAACTACAACATAATATTTAAGGTAAAACATATTAAATAATAAATATAATTATATAACTATAATTTAAAAATAAATTCGGGGTTAAAAAATCATAACAAAATAATATTGTTTGATTTAATTTTTTTTAAAAGCAATCCCACATGGCTAAGAAACATAGAAGAGCATCCCAAAAGTTTAAAGAGTAAAAATATGAGAACAAAACAATCTAACATTGTTAAGAAACATAAAAGCGCATCACAACTAACTTCTATAAATAATAGAGGTAATTTGACATTCAAAATCATGGAGTCTTTTGGTGAGCATTGAGTGAACTATTCTTTCACTTCAATCAAGCTCGAATTTTAGGCTTCAATCGAGCTTCTAATTTTTTTTGAGTTCAAGTCTTTTTGAGTTCAAGTTTCAATATTATATTTCGAGTTTGAGTTGAACTTGATAATTTTTAGCTTGTGAGTTTGAGTTGAGTTGAGCTTACTTTTAAAGTTTTCAAGTTCGAGTCGAGCTCAGCAATACTTGAGCTCGACTTGGCTCGTTTAAAAAACGACGTTGTTTGGTTTAATTTTTTTTAAAAAAAAACAAAAATCCCGATTTTCCCGGTTTTCAGCCGGTCCAGTTCGAACGGTTCAGCGGTTCTGGCCGGTTCACTAATAGCGATTCAACCGATTTAGATTGAACTAGACTAAGCAACGATTTCCGGTTGAATCGGCCGATCCGGTCCGGTTTTCAAAACAGAGTATTTAGTCACGTTTTTCATGTAAAATAAAAAAAAAATTTGTTACGTATGGAAATAAACTATATTAAAAACAATTTAATTAAAAAGTAATGAAATAATACATATCAATCTATTTTTATTTCATTTGATTAAACAAATAGTAAGCTTATTAGTAATTTTATTTTATTTTATTAAATCTCACCATGTATGTATATAGTTTAATTTTATTTTATTTTTTATATGTATTATGATTTGTCAGTTTGAGTTTAGTTAAGTCATAAGTGTTTCACGTTAATAATATATTGAATTTCTATTACCATTATATTGAATGTATAATTTTATAATCACTAAACTTAGTATTTTTATCTAAAAATATAAATGAAATAATAGATAAATTTTATAATTAACTAAATAATCATAGAAATAACTTTATGAGATGATTAGATATTTTTAATATATATTAAATACATAAATAAAATTTGAATTGATCGAATAATTAAAAATATCTATATTATTTTAATTATATGAATTCAAATTTCAATATTTATCTTAGAAATACTTAGTTTATTTCGATTTAACTCAAATCTTATGAATTTGTGTACTTTTCTCTTTTTGTGTAATTTACTTTTTGAATTATCCTTATAATTTTCCAATAAGTGGGATGAAAATTATTTACCCAAAATCGGCGAGTACCACGCAGTTATTTTCCGATTAGTCGGCCACCAAAAATACTCAAAACTGAAAATCGGGCAATTCAATTGCAATCAAGTCACGAGTGAGGAGAAACTTCATCACGTGTTGTGCACACGTGTCAGCCTCTCAGATCAATGACAGTCACAACCGACAAGTGGTGTCTGGTGGCCGGAAATTAATGCCCAAAGCACGTGTTGAGTTACGGGCTTACCCTGTTACCTTACCGTTTCCCCCCCCCCCCCGGTAATCTACAAACTTGTCTAAATAGTAAGAATTCAAATTTCACCGTACAAATGAATGATTCTTTAAAGGACGTGAAGATTTGGCGGATTAACGCTATAAAACAACTGTCTTTCTTTGCCTTTGCTACTTTTTTTCTTCTCAGCAGTAGTAAAGCACTTAGGCCTTTGGGTTTTTCTTTTGCATGGGAATTGAAACATTTTTGTTCATGTATGTTTCTGGTTGAATTTTTAGGTGGGTTTTGCTTGAATTTTGAATTAAGAGAGTCAAAGAACAATGGAGAGAGATTTCCTGGGTTTGAATTCAGAAGAACCGTGGGTTATGGTTAAGGAAGAGCTTAACACTGATGGGTACAAACAAATAGGTGCATGTGCTCTTCTTTTTTCTATTTTCCTGGAAACTCTTTAAAAGATTGGTTCTTTTGTTATGATGATTATCTATAAATTTATTACTGAATTGGAATCATGTAAGCAATTGTTTGTGAAAGAAAAAAGCACAAGAAGATATATTTAGTTACTGGTGATTGTTTATAAACAAAAAGAGTTGTGCCTGTTATAGCTATGCATTTATCTAATTTTACTGGTGTTTTTATTTTCCTTTTTTATCTGGGATTTTAAGGTTTTACTAAAAGCTCAGGGATACAATGGCCCTTTTCAAACAAGGTTTCTGCTGTTCCACAGCTGATGAACTTTAATTTTGCTAAAGGGGATAAAGCTAAAAAGGTTGGATATGATCCAAAAGCATCCCCTATGTTCATGCCCACCTCAACAATGGATGCTACTGAACTTCAGGTTTGCCACTATCCCCTTGCTTTCACTGTTGTGGATTAGGCTGATTGATTTTCATTTCAATCGAGTCTGTTAGGAATTTGTAAGTGGAAAACAAACAACTCGAGATGAAAATAGAAATAAGACACCATTTCACTATGCAGAGAGAGATGCACCTTAATTTACATGTTTTTTTGTTGGAATGCTTTTTTATTTATTGGCTTCCGATGTCTCGAATTGATATTGTTTTCGCTTTTACTATCCAGAAATCATTGTACCATGGTAGGATAGGAGGGAATTATGTTTCATCGACACCTTCTTATGTTCAACATGATGGTAAGATGTTTTTGGCCTCAAACCATGGACCGTTTATGGAGAATCATTATGCTACGACGGGTCAAAATTTTCCTGTCAATAGCATGAGACCACAATTACTCGGAGGGATTCTGGTCACGAGTCCACGTACGATTCTTCCCACACTTGGTTCTGTTGGTGGAAGTGTTGAACCATGGTAAACTTGAAAATTCGTATGCTTTAGTTCAGTTACTGCAGCAGTATTGTTGACAGTGAGATATTGAGACTTGGTCCTAAATTTTATTTTTATTTTATAATTAGGAAAAGCGTCAAGACCTCTGGATCACCAGCTCAACTGACGATCTTTTATGGGGGTGAAGTGAATGTCTTTGATGATATTACACCTGAGAAGGTGCTCTTCTTTCTTTCCCAAGATTACTTTGTTTTAATGACCTTTAAGTCGGTGGAAAGCTTCGAAAGTTAACTTCATTTAATCATTTTTGTATCTTTATCCAGGCTCAGGCTATAATGTTCTTGGCTGGATCTAGTTCGGCTTATCCAAAACCCCAAGCCCAGACACCTATTTTGAAGCCAGTTCAAGTTGAAAGTGTTCCTGCAAACCAGATCATAAATACACAATTAAAATCTGGTGCATCGAACCCTCACGCTGTTGCTGCTCAGTCCGGGAGTGGCTCCACTAGTACCGAAGATCAGATTATATGCAAAACCTCGGGAACCCGAACTCCATCTACCCCTATTAGCAAATTTGAGCCTCCGAAATTGCTGAATAGCATGGGATCAGTTGCTGCTACTGGCATGATGCCTTCTAGTACACTCTCTCATGCTCTTACAAGATTTTTCTGTTCTTGCATGCATATTTTTAGCTAATTTTGTCTGAATACCGTGGGATCTGTTGCTGCTACTGGCATGATGCATTCTAGTACACTCTCTCATGCTCTTACAAGATTTTTTTGTTCTTGCATGCATATTTTTAGCTAATTTTGTTTACAACTTACTTTGAATTGTTTGCCCCTAGTTCCACAGGCTCGCAAAGCTTCCTTGGCTCGGTTTTTGGAGAAGCGCAAGGAAAGGTTAGTTCGTAGGCAAGATACTTTTGTTCTTGAAACTATTTCAAACTGCTAGTTGACCATGTTTAGATTGCATTGTCGTAGAAAGCCAAAAAAACCGCTAGATATGTGGGATGCGATATAATAGTCCTTGTGAGAAAATAAGGGAGAGACTTCAGGGTAGCGTGAAAACTATTGCTATATCGATTGCATATGCAATAATGGTCAAGTACAATAGATCAAAGCTCGATGTCTCGAATAAATCTCTGTTATTTGCTGTTGTAGGGTAATGAATGCAGCATCACCATACAATTTTATCAAGAAGTCTATAGATTATGCAACTACCTTGGAATCAAGCGCATGAACGATGCCACAATCCTCTTCACTCCAAGGTTTATGATTTGGCATTAGAAGGAAATGAATGGCATGAACTTTGACTATGCTTAATTGCCATCAACTGCAGTTTATTCAGTAATTGGTGTAAGTTTATATTATTAATATGGATGCTTTATCTACTTTGTAACCCCGTTCAATTGTTGTTACATGGTAGAAATAATGCATTAGTAAGAATATGGATATATAAACCATATTTTATATATATCCAGCTCGGTGCTTTTTTGATTTTATGTGTTTTTTATTAAGAAAATTTTAAATAGATATTCTATTATAATTATTTCATACTAATAAATAAATAGCCCATTACGTGGCACACAGGCAGTGTGTTAACTTCAGTCACGTTTTTTAATGCAGACAGTACAGTCCATGGGACCACCGGGGACCACGGCAAGTTGTATGAACATAAATAACCTAAGTACAATCTCCTTCAACAGAGTCTCATTTTGTCATGCAAGATAGGTCTTTTTAGTGACAGGTCATGAATGAATACGTTTTCCGTTAATACTCATAATACTCCAATCTTTCATCACAACAAATGAGAATCTCATTTTGTAGCATTTAAAGCGGTTGTTGCCGTTTCCGTCGACGAAGACCTTCAACACCTCAAGTTTACTAGTCATTTGGACACGGAAAACTACAACAGAGTCTTCCTCTGTCAACTTAAAGACCGTGGCAGCGACGATTTCACTTTGAAAGTAATCAACTGAGATTCATAGAACGGAAATAAACTTTCCCACATTGAAACAGAAGAAAAAAAATTAACCATGTTGAACCATCCATTTCTTCCAACGCTTTACGCACATATTGAAGCCCGTCACTATACTTGTTTCCTTATTGAATTTTGCCCCAACAGAGACCTTCATTCTTTTCTACATAAACAGTCCAGCTTTTTGGTCCACTGTCATAAACCACAAATGGAGATCAAGTGGTAGTTGCAAGCCTGCAAGAACAAATACATATACAATATGTTAATGAAACAGTTGTTTCTCATTATCCCGAATACATGGTTATCACATATCAGGGAATGAATAGTTTTTTGCTCCACCACAATAATTAATATGTTCATGCAATTTCAAGTCATGGAAAATCTTAATGCAAAGGAATCCAAGTTTAACAGATAAGCTTTTGGCTCCTCATAAGAACAAAATCTTTCTGACTCCTAAGAACCTAACTAGCTACAGCCATAAACAAGAGAGGTGACGGTTTCCTAGCAAATGAATAGTAGATCAATTTATTAAGTATTTATAATTTTGGCTCTCGTTAAATTATAAATATCACTTATGTATATATATTTTAATTCCATGACACTTTAATACATATGAAACATGTAACGTAAATTGTCACTTAATTTTGTGTCATATTTTATGGTAGTGTAGTATATTATATATATGTGTCCACAATTATGGATTTTAATTGAACAATAACACTATCTTTAAATGATCACCATCTTTAAATGATCTTTAACTGTTAAACATAGTTTCTTATATTATATCCACTGGTGAGCTGTTTCAGGAGAGGTGCTTGTGGATATGGCAACTTGTATAGTCAAGGCTATGGAACCAACACTGCCGCACTCGGCGCTGCTTTGTTCACCAATGGCTTAGAGCTGCGGTTCTTGCTATGAAACAAAGCGTGACAGTGACCCAAAATGGTGTCTGCCCGGTTCGATCACCGTCACAGCGACCAACTTCCAACTTCCGCCCCCTAACTTAGTTTTGCCTAATGACAATGGTGGCTGGTGCAATCCCCCTCTCCAGTTCTTCGACTTGGCCGAGCCTGCCTTCTTGCAAATTGCTCAATAGTATACCGAGCTGGAATCGTCCCCAGTTCTTTCAGAAGGTAACATTCACAGTACCCTTTAATAATTGTGTACTAAGATAAATGATTCGAGCTCATATCAATAACGGAATTGTATAAGTCCAAATAATATAAATATCCAAATTATATAAGAATTTAAAATTTTTATGGGACGACTACTCCTACGCTCCTTCAGTCTATCCCTAAATCAATGGTCACTCGTACTTCAACTTGGTACTCATCACAAATGTTGGTGGTGCTGGAGATGTCCATGCTGTTTCGGTCAAGAGCTCTAAAACAGAATGGCAATCGATGTTCATGTACTCAAATGGCGGATAAGCTTGAGGTGACGGTTTCCTAGCATTTGATTAAAACAGTAATGCACACGTTAATAATATTTTAATAAAATAACACGATTAGTAAAAGAGAAAATTTGTCGGAATATGACAGTTGAATTCAATCTAACATGCCATGTCATCAACAAGACAGTATTTTTATCCTCGTAGACCTTGACTCTACTTTGCATTCACTTTTGAATCTGAACCGTCGGATTTCTTCCAAAACCCGGTTCACCACTTGTCTTCCAAAACCCGGGATTCTTTCGTTTTTCGAAGCTAAGAGCTTTGTAATTTGTATGGTTTTGAAAGATTGAAGCTTTCGTCAAATGGCTATTTTCCTGCTGTTTTTGCTTGTCTCGGCTGTTTCTGGTGATGAAGGTCAGTCTCTTTGAAGCTGTAGCCTACTTCCTACACAACCCTCGTGCTTTAACTGTGTTTTGTTTTATATATTTGTCTGTGACCGTGTTTGTCTTTGTGGGTACTTCTGCTTTGCTATGTTTTCTTTCTAATTATGATGGTTAGCGTGGGAAAGAGAAAACAGGCTTTCCCTTTGGGTATTAACTCTTTTTCTGTCAAAGCAGAGGCCTTTCCCTTGTATTGGAAACCCTTCTTGTCTTTCATTTCACCATGGGAATCTTAGCTAATAATGCATTCCAGCACATGATATTTTGTAGGACCAAAATGACCTCATGGAAGGCCTCCAAGTGTTTAAAGTTGTTTCCTGTAATTGTTGTGGCATCTTGGGAATATGTGTACATGTGGGTAGTATTGTCATCTTTTGGTGTAAATTTAACGTCTTGGCCTTGTTGGTCCTGTAAATTTTATGTAGAATCCCATCACTTCCCGTATAGTTCATGTGCTTTGGTATTTATGATGATGATGATGGATGATGCAATGTCATGTCTGATGTGTTGTTGAATGTTTCCTTTTGTTGTTGGGAGAATTGTAATGAAAAGGAAATTATCATATATATGTGTAGTTCATGTGCTTTGGTATTATTATGATGATGATGGATGATGCTATGGCATGTCTGATGTGTTGTTGAATGGCTCCTATAGTAGTTGTGGGAATTGTAATGAAAAGGAAATGATCATATATACATGTGTATATAGCTTGAATGAAAGCTATACAGTTTGTCTTAACGTCGGTCAATGGATCTTATTGTGCAGAAGCCTTTATCGGTGTGAACATTGGTATGGACCTTTCCGACATGCCCAGCCCTACTCAAGTGGTGGCCCTCCTCGAATCTCAGAATGTCCGTCATGTGAGGCTTTATGATGCTGATCGATGGAATAAAAAAAATGATGCTGATCGAGCTGTGCTTCTCGTACTTGCCAACACAGGCATCCAAGTGACCGTCTCCGTCCCCAATGAGCTGCTCCTTGGTATTGGTCAATCGAATGCCACTGCAGCCAACTGGGTGGCTCGCAATATTATATCCCATATCCCTGCAACCAACATAACGGAAATAGCCGTCGGATCGGAAGTCTTAACCGCGCTCCTGAAAGCTGCTCCAGTCCTAGTTTCTGCCTTAAAGTTCATCCACCCTGCCCTTGTCGCTTCTAATCTTGACAGTAAAATCAAAGTCTTGACTCCGCATTCATCTTCAATTATTCTGGACTCCTTTCCACCTTCTCAAGCCTTTTTTAACCGGTCATGGGATCCCGTCATGGTTCTGTTACTGAAGTTTTTGCAGTCTACCGGATCGTACCTTATGCTCAACGTATATCCGTATTACGATTACATGCAATCAAATGGCGTGATCCCATTGGACTATGCACTTTTCCTGCCTCTCCTCCAGACAAAGAAGCCGTGGATGCTAACACACTCCTGCATTACACTAATGTCTTTGACGCCATTGTTGATGCAGCATATTTCTCAATATCTTATTTAAACGTCACAAACGTTCCGATTGTAGTAACCAAGTCCGGTTGGCCTTCGAAGGGTGATTCGTCCGAGCCCGATGCTACTGTTGAAAATGCTAATACATACAACAGTAACTTGATCAAGCATGTAATTAACAACACCGGGACGCCTAAACACCCTGGGATTGCAGTTAGTACTTACATTTATGAACTTTACAATGAGGATTTGATACCTGGACCAGCCTCTGAACAGAACTGGGGGCTATTTGATGCTAATGGAGTACCGGTTCATATTTTACACTTGACAGGTGCTGGTACTGTTTTCGCAAACGACACAACAAACCAAACTTTTTGTGTTGCAAAGGAGGGTAAAGATGTTACAGGCGGCTCTCGATTGGGCTTGTGGACCAGGGAAAGTCGCTTGCTCGCCTTTGTTGCAGGGGCGACCATGTTATGAGCCTGATAATGTGGTTTCCCATTCGACTTATGCTTTCAATGTGTATTTCCAGCGGATAGGGAAGTCTATCGGAACCTGTGATTTCAAGGGGGTGGCTACTATCACTACAACTGATCCGAGTAGGTGACTATAATATTTGTTCTAATAGAATAAGTCTACCAGAACCTATTGACTCACTAATGTCGTCCATTGGTGCAGGTCACGTTTCATGCGTGCTTCCGGGAAGGTATGCCTTCGATGCCCCTAATCTGTACTAGTCCTTAAACCCTATGTATTCACGATGGCTTTAATGAATGCTGGTGATAATATGACTTTGATTTTGTCTGTAGTTTCGGGGAAAACGGCACCATAACTAACGGCACATCACTGGCTCCTTCATCGAATGACACTAATTCGGGCCATCCACCCCAATATTTCTATAGGAGTGATTCATTCACCATCTCTGTGATAATAGGCGTTTGCGTTTTCCATATGGCCACTGTTTTCTTGTAGTACTTGATTTTAGTACTTCTTTCCTTAGGTTTTAACAGCATTCAAATGATTCGAAAATTTTCGGATTCCCTCTGTGGAATACTTGCAGCAAACCTGATTTTGTTTCTCCTATCGGAGTTTTGTTGAAGAGTGGCAAATGTAATTGAACATATAGATTGATTTGGATTATTGTACAAAAGAAACCAAGAGATTGTTTCAAATAATATATATACATACATATATAACTCAACACTTGAACAGATTTATTCAAAATCATCGGATTTATCATGGCAAACACTACAAATCCACCCTATAACCCTGCCATGTTCTTCCCGTCTATAATATGCTTGAAGCTTTCTGTAATTATGATATAGCAAAGGCCGTCTCTTCTGTTGAATACCCTGCAGTTTTTGGTTTGTTTGAAGATAATATCGAAACCTTTTGAGATGTTCTTTCTTCATGTTGCCGATGCCATTTATCCAAAGACTTTTCAGGCCGTGTTGGTGGTCGGATAGCTACTGCACCTCTGTTATTACTCCATCAGGGGTTAAACCAGTGCAACCTGGTGTGTGCAGCTGAAAATTTTACAGCTAGAAAGAGGAATAGCAGAAACATTTACAAGATTCAAAGCCAATTTACTTAAGAGTCCACAAACAGATGATTATTGATCCGCGTGTACTCCATTGAAACAAGTACTCGCATGAACCGGAAAAAAACGCAATGAAAGGTTCTCTGGATACTGTAAGTGCAAGAAATTGACAGAAACCATCATTCATTACACTTTCAGTACTTGACAAGTACAACATGAATATTGGAAGATCAACAATAGACATGTTTATCATTTCTGCACTCTGTAGTTGTACAAGTAACTTCAAAATGGAAATTTGTTACCAACACAAGTGTGCAGAACACAAATCTGTTGAAATCATCAATGATCTAATGGCTCGACAACGGTCTTGAAGAGAAGAATGTAAACCTTGTCAATTGAAAAATACAAGAAACCTCCAAGTGAATGTGTCACATATGAACCGAAGCTAGTTCCCACGATGCAGTGCCAAGCATGACCGTATGTTGAGTCGAATTCCTAAAAAATCCAACGGATCGTCATCATGGTCAATTCAATATCATAGTGAAAGTTAAAGATCCATAAAAACCCCAGAAGGTTTTATACTACATGATTTTAGCAAGCATTTAACCAGAACACTGAATCAAAGATCAACCTTGTGTTATACTAGTTAGAGCACTCTCACACTATGTTTCACAGTTTCAATATCATTTTCTGCACAAGAACATACGTGTTAGTAGTTCACAAGCTAGCACCAAAGCCATGTACAAGCAGATTCACTATCATCTCCATGACAAGGATCGCTATCTCTTCGATACACAAGTAGCTACTCCAAGGCAACAGAGAGGGTTACTCTTGAAAGCAAGCGTGTCATAATATTTTCAAACATTGCATAAACAGTAGGTGATCAAACTCTATGAATGATATTAAGCTTGGGGAATACTTCACTTCTCACAAGTACCATTTTCGCCCTCGACAGAAATGAATCGAAGCTAATAAGCTACATCTTCTTGAAGTTGGAGTAAAAGGTTAAGCAATGGGGTTTAAAGCAATATAAAACAATGGAATTCATATGAACATTTACAAGGGGGGTAACAAATTCAATACGGTAAAAAGGAAAAGAGTGGCCTTATAAATCCAACCATAACATCCAAGCTTACCCAATATTCTTTACCAAAACACCATGCTAACCAAAGAAATCTAAACAAACCCATGAAAAAGAAGAATCATCTAACCAAAGAATCACTGTATCAGGAAAAAGGACGAGAAAGTTTGATTTTTTAACCTTCTTAAGTGCAAGGGCTAGGCGTTTACTATCAAGCTTTCCAGGCATATAATCAAGCTGGTCTCGAGCACATTTAAAAGCCTTGTTTTGAAGAGCTAAAGGCATATCTGAAGCTCTGACTTTAACATTAAAACGTTCAGTTTGCTCTTGTTGTTCTATAGCTTTCTTCTTTTGAATCAAACTGCTCAAGAATTTGCTTCTCCTCTCTAACTCCAACTCCGCTCCATCCATATTCCTCTTATTTTTCTCTCTTTCTTCAATTTCCCGACAATATAAGAAATACCCAGAAAAAGTAAAGATCAAAGAAGCTAAAGAGCAAACCAAGGAAAAGTGAAGTTTCTCGATTCCCCAATTGGCAATGCTATGCGTGCCACTCGTTTGATAAAAAGCCTTAAAAGCGAAAAAAGAGAGGTTAGTGTATTAAAAGAACACACAAAGCTATAAACGTCAAGTAAAATGTTTGGTTTTTCTTTTTGGGGTTGGGGTTGAGGAAACACAATGAATTAAAATATATTAGTATTGATTGGAAAGATGGAAAGAAAATGTTTTTTTTTTCCTCTCTCTCTCTTCTTAGGATGCTATGCTTTTGTTTGTACTAGTCATCTTGATTTGACAATTTCTGGAAGATAGTAGTTGGTCCTTGTCGTAGCTGGTTTAGTATGTCGGTTTGAATTTGTACAAACCATGGGTTTCTTTGGCATTACCTGCACTCATTAGTATTGAAAACACAAGCGTGATGCCGAATCAATGGCGTTTCTCAAGGCGGAGGGAGTCCCCTAAGGCTTAAATTTTATGTCCTCGGAGGCAAACGAGCGGTAATCACGGTGTACAAAGAAGGGTCTTATCTGATAACCCCATCCCCCAACCACCACTCAAACTCGACAATACGAGTAGGATACACAAAGTTGCCCTTTCCTTTTTGCTCCTCGTGCTGTCGTCTTCCATGTTTTTTTAGTAACGGAGTTGAATGAAATATTAATAATTAATTTAGAGTAAAGTATAGAAAATGGTTCACTTATTATAGGATTTTATTTTATTAAATCTCTTAATAATTATAATTTGTAAAATAGTTTTCGATTATAGATCGTTATTTTGTTGAGTATTTTAACTATTAAAAGTTATAAAATAATTATTTAATTATTCATATGTTTCAGACTTATATGTTTCTGCTAAAAGTTGGCAGCTCTGAAATGGACGTTAACATATTGACTGAGATATGATAAAATTATATTTTAATGATGTCTACTGGCACCATTATTGTTTTCAAGCATTAACTTAACGACATAATATTAACTACTAGCATATTAACGTTCAACTCAGACAGCCGTCAATTTTTTTTATGGAAAAAGACGAATTTGGAACATACAAACAATCGAGTGACTATTTTATAACGTTTAATAGTGACTATTTTATAACGTTTAATAATTAAGACTCAACAAAATATCACTTTATAGATTGGGTATCAATTGTATAATTTATCCATTAATTTAATGGAAAAATATAGAAATAATACTCCGATTATGAGGCGTTGCTTTATTGAGTTCTGCGACTATTAAAAGTTATAAAACGATCTATGAATTATACATCGTTATTTTGTTGAGTTCACTTACTATTAAAAGTTACAATCTGGTTATCTGACTATTCATATGTTCCAAACTTACCATTTTTCGTTAGAAAATTAGCGATCATCTTAGCTGAACGTTAACATGTTGACTGAGAAATTATAAAATATGATCTCATAATCGTTTGAGCTATATTTTGTGGATCAACTCTTCGTTTATATTATGATGTCGAGTTAGTGCTTGAAATCAATATGGCATACCATAAGTTTGGAATAGGTAAAACTATTTCTTGTTTTGTGGCCAATTCCTTCTGGTGAAAGCAAGTATGCCTCGTCGATCCCATAAGCTTTTCACCTTTTCATGCCACTTTCCATCACCGGAGCCGGTTGCATTGGCATACCATGATTTTTCTGCCCCGCCATGTTTCCATGCCATCCTACGTATCGGCAAAAAAACATTTGTTGGCATTTTGATTCTCACTGCAATGTACATGATGATAATTTTATAATGCTTTCCGTGGTACATGTGGAAGCCATTGCTCTTGAGCTCGCGATATTCTTGGCACAAGGCGCAGTCCTCGCACCAAAGATGAACGCAGAAATCGTTGCAGGGACTCTCTTCCAACATGTATCGACTCCTCATTCTGGAGCGATAGAACCAGGAGAATATGCAAGGAAACCCGGTGAACATTCTGATGACTGCATAGATTGCTGCACATGCTTCACAAGCTGCCATGGTCAACGATATGAGCAATTTGTCCATGGTCATGCATACAAAATATTGGGAATCAAATCATGAAATCATGAAAGAAAACGGTGAAACTTACGGACTGATCCATGGTCGACTATATGAGCAATTTGTCCGAAGGTGATACAGGGAAACCAAAACGTAATGCAACCTATAAAATTCGAGTTAAATCGAATTAGTAACTGATAAAAACATTACAACGATGGGAGTCCAATTTAAAAGGAGAAAAAAAGAAAGATTATAGTTAGGAACATCAGAGAAGCAGTCGTAGAGTCCTGTTGACCAAGGGACCTGACCATCCTGTTGCATGTAGTTTTGGGAAGGGTAATGTTGGTTCGTTGTGGCAATGGGGAAACCATTTGCCGGAGCTTGTTGAACAAAGTGATGAGGGGGTGCCGAGTTTGGTTGGCCAGCCGGTTGCATGTAGTTTTGGGGAGGATATTGATGGAATTCCATTGATTAAGTTCTAATCTGCAGCGGATTACACGAAAGTTTTGACTGAAGAACAGTGGATGATCTAAGAGCAAGCAGTACCTCACGGTCCAACCATGATAGGAAACAAATTTGGAAGCATGATAGGAAGTTGAACAGTAAGACATCCGAAAAGAAGGGTGTTTCTATTGGTGGCTCACCATATAATACGTTAGCTGAAGTTAATGGGTGCACAAAATGGAGAGAATCTCGATAGCCGATGATGCGAGTTTTGTGGATAGAGCAAATGGCATCCGAAAATATTGCGTTATATTGATGATTTTTGCACATTGTGTCGCTTTTTCCTGGAAGATACAAATTATATTACCTTAATCAGGATTGACTTTATTAAGAACAATAATAGATATACAATCAGAATTACTATAAGCGAAATATAACGACGTATGGTTAGGGAAAGATCAATATGCAAGGAGCAAGCAGCAGCATTGACAGTGTCCCTGAATATTCTGGACTCGGATGTGGGTGCTGATATTCAGCAACCGTCGTGCTTCATATAAATGGAAGCTTACCACAAATAAATCAAAGCGTCGACAATTCAACTGGCTTACCACGTGTTGATTTAGATTTATACCCATTTTAAACCCAACAATTATCTTCATAAAAGCACAAACCTAACATTGGAACTAAACTCCAAATTATATTTAGAACCTAAACATACTGGAAACTTTATAATGATGTTTGGGCTTTGCCCAAAAAGAAAAAAAAAAGATGCAATCTTTGTAGTGTACAACTTTAAACTTTCTTCGTTAATTGGAATAATTGGAATCTTCTCATTTTTTTTCACAATAATAGGGCAGGGTGACCAATTCTCGCACACCACTCAATTAATCATCATCCTTCTACATTGGAGGGAGGAGAAATTCAAGGGTGTGCCCAAAAGAATGCCAACACTCCCACCAGCGATGCATTGATATACGTTGTGGGATCCGACTCTTGAAAATAAGGTCTCGAATAGGGGTGTAAACGAGCCGAGTCGAGCTCGACTCGACTCGAAAACTCACGAACTTAAAATTTTTAAGCTCGACTCGAACTTGAAATCTTGAACTGAAGCTCGTGAGCAGTTCGAAAAGGCTCTAAATGAAAAAAAAAAATTCTTAAACTTAACTAGATTGAATCCTCAAACTCGAACTTGAACCTTAAATACATGAAAGCCTTAAATGTATTTAAAAAAAAAATCAACATATAAATTTTAATATTATTAATAATTTATTTTAAAAAAATAAAATATTAATATATTATATTTTCGAGCTGCTCACGAGCTTTTCGAGTCGAGTATCAAGTAGCTCGTTTCGGCTCGTTAAGAATTCGAGTCGAGCTCGAGTTCGAGTCGAGTCCATTCGATCCGAGTATTTATTGAGCCTTGACCAAGTCGATCTCGAGGAACTCGCGATCTGTCTCGTCTCATTTACAGCCCTAGTCTCGAATCCGGAAAAGAATCCGACACATTAGGCCCACCCACCACTGCTCCCACCAATAAATTCGGGTTTGGATTCAGACTCAAGAAATACGGTGACCCTGCTTTGCAGCCAATCCGACCCGGGTGTGTCGCCACTGACAGCAACGAGCTGCCCCTGTGATGAATCCTCCTAGGGAAGCGTGAGCCGTACCCAACCATGTAGGACATCCCTAGTGGATTATCTTCAAGAATGTAGTTCACCTAAAATTGCCACAATTATTCATTTTTATGGGGGCCTTTTACTATTTACATAAACAAAACAAGAATGTGGTAACTGAGAACATTAGCCAACTGTTTGAGAAGGGCAGTGGAGGCTGATCTTTCGCCACATGCCACCACCTTGTTGGCGTGGCTTAGGTAATTAGAATAGGCTAAGAGTAAGAAAGACAGTGACGTTACATGCTGCATGTTACTCCCATCGGCTTTGAAAATCAGCCCACCTTTTCTTCCATCAAAAGGGTTTAGTTTCTTAGTCAGCAGCTAATTACACACCTAATCATGTTTAATGTGCAAAGAAAGAAACCATTTGTTTTGTTTTGTTTTTTTAACAGGAGAGTATTGGACTTGAGGATGAGAATTTCCAGGCGATAAAGAACAAATGAAACCATCAGCATTTTGCTTGAAAGACTCAAAATACTCGGCTTTTCCCATCAGCACTTCCTGGTGCATCATAGATGACAACTTGATTTTGTTTTTGTTTTTGTTTTTTTCTCATATACAAAGTCATGCACATGATAGGAAAGCTATGGTGGGGAACCGTTGCCTCTGACTTTAGGCACATGCATGTAGCAGTAGTTTACTCATTCAGGACCCACTATAAATTAAAACCAGATCTCTAAGACTAGTATGAATTCGGCTTATGATTGAGGAAACAAAGTACAGAACCATACCAACCAACCTTGAATCCACTCCATCAAAAACATAGATTTATGTTGATTTTTTTAGAATTTAAAGAGAATGTCCAGATCGGGTTTGTCAAAGCATAAATCAAGCTTCACATGAAAGCGAAATTCTATGCTTGTCATCATTTGCAATGATCATACATATGGATGGATGGAGGGTACTCGATGTGATTACACTCTTAGAAATTTAAAATATTTATATAGTTTATGTAATTTCTATATATTTTTTTATTAATAATTTAATTTTATAATTTCACACTTATTTTTTTTATATAATTTTATAGATTTAAATTCTATTTTCATCTCTACTATATACATTTTTCACCATATCTCAGCTAGCTAGAATTTCACGCTACATAAAATTTTACGTCTTTAATGTACACTTTTTCACCGTATCATTACATCCTGACATAAAATGTTAATTTACATCCTGACATTTTTCATATGTTCTGAAAGTCTTTCAAAAAAGGGCGAAGACCCCCCCCCCCACAAAATGTGAGGTCCGCCAGGAAATTTATCAAAGTTATTCCCCAGCCACGTGACGCTGAGCCATATTTTCTATAAACTTGGGAAAGTAATTCTAATATATGTTACATTCTCCAACAAAGAACACAGGACAAGAAGAATAAGAACACTGCACTAGAGAAATATTATAATACTAAATAAATTAGAAATAAATAAACTGGTAAGGACACAAGCATATTCAATGAAAACCCAGATTTAAACATAATCAGATCCATAATCCAGGGATTAAGTGAGAGGATGAGGTTATTGTCTACCTTGGAAATGAGGACGTTAATCCCAGCATGATTGTTATCCCATCCAAACTCATTAATGGTATCTCCAGCTCTCAATACAACCTCGTTTTTCACTATGTATTCTCGGTATCCGCGCCTCTTTGAGGCTTTGTGCAATCAAGCAGCTGCCCAAAGCAATTCGTCCTGCACAAAATATTATAAAAAATTTCATTTTTTGTATGTACTGGATATCATAATCCAACGGTTCATATTGACTATAAAAAGGATGTTTAAAATCTAACCTGGTAGCCGGGCAAACTGCAGCGTGCAGGCTGCTGCTCTAGGCACCCCGGTGCTTGTCATCAAAGTTGAACACCTACAGTAAAATTTCAATTTTACCCGCCTAAGTTTTACCGTAATAACCCGCAAACAAACTATTATTCATTCAATTAATACACTCATTGCACGTTAATAACGTACATTGCCAACTTACCATGGTGAAAGGTAAAAAAAGAATACCCGTTTTGACGGAGACAAGGTTAAGATAAATTTTACTCTGGAATCTTATAAACATTTATAGTAAAAATAATAAAATATGTAATTTCTATGGTGAATGATAGTGATGTACCCTAAAACCTGGAATAAGCGGGGTAACGAGACCTGAACACGATAGACGCGGCGGCCAAATCAGCGGCGGTTTCGCCGGCGACATCTGAACCAGGATGGGCATTGTCGATTTTATATACAATGCGAAGCATGTCCATATCCTCCGGCCTCTCCCAGCAGCTATGATCCGAGTACGCATCTCCAACTTGTACGTACACGGTACACCACTCCAGGCTTAGACGTTGCTTTGAACAGATAATCCGTCGACCATCTGACGGCTTTAACGGCGTTCTTTAAGTTCGGCCCCATGTTCCTCGCGAAATCTATGATACTCCAAGCTAAGAGAGTGGTCGTAAACGCCATTGGGAACCCGAACTTGACGTTATCTCCGGCGTCATAATAACCTCCCGTTAATTCCACCTGAAAAAAAGGAAAAATCAAAAGCCATTAAGGACTTAACTAGACATTGTCAGAAAAGAAAATGTATAATGCCCTCGAAGTGAACACGTACGCCGGCAGTAGAGCCGTCTCGCAATGCGGAATCGCGACGCCATTTGAGGCGTTGGTCCGGTGGGAGTTTACCGGATCGTTGGCCTTCGAAAAAGAGAACGCTCTTCCGGAGGGCATCTCGATAATCGTGGGCGGCTACGATTGGAGTAGCAAAGAGGAGTAAAACAAACGAAACGGTGAGAATTGGCGGGAAAATCACCGGAGACGAGAACGATTTTCGCGTCATTAGTTTCTTGTTCCACTTCAGCTAGTACTGCTAAGCAAAGCGAGTGGCCAACGTGGTTTTTTATACTAAAAAAGTGTTATTGGATACCAGAGTGCGGACCATTTGGGGGGGGGGAGATATGCCACGTGGACATACATGAATGGCCGAAATTGGGATTCCAATGCCTTTACTGGGTTAAATTATTGGATCGGATTATTCAGGTCCGGGCTTGACCCGTCCGTTCGGCGGTGTGACTAGTAGGGATGGCAAACGGGCGGGTCGGGTGCGGATACCTCATCCCCATACCCACCTAATATTTTTCAATCCACCACCCGCCCACCACCCATGATGAGTACAAATTTTCAAATCCACACCCGCCCCCGCGGGTACATTTTTAAATCCATCCCCACACCCACTACCCACTAGCGACATACCCATCTAGACCCGCCTGACAGTAAACTAATGGGATGTTGGAGTTGGTTCCCAGACAGTTCGTGATGGGGTAGCAACGCATGCTTCAATTTGTCAGAGGAGTGGCTCTACGAATG